ACTGAAGGTACCTGGCTCTTGGGGAGAAAAGGGCAGGATTGGCTTAGTGTGGGTGGCTGGGGGTGCCTGGCTTTGGGGAAGTGGTGGGGGACTGGGTTAGAGTGGGAGGTGTGGAAGGAAGCTGAAGCACCTTAAACTCGAAGTCTTCATAGATGCAGAATAAGGCAGCCAGCACAGATGTCATATTTAAATTCCGGGGGGGCGGGGGCGGTGCGGGAGGGGAAATCTGCAGGTACCTGGTTTATACTGTGTTCTTTAAAGAAAATTCAAAATATGCCAGGCTGAAGCAATTATTCTGAGATATGAGTCTCTCCCTTATTGTCTTTGAACTTCTCATATTTGCAATCTGGGACAGTCCTGAAATTTTAGAACTATAAAAAAGCCATAATCTTCATAAAAAAAAAATGAGACCATACCAGAGATCAACAAGCTGGAGTGAAACAGGCACTTCAGATTGTGCTAATCTACTTTTCAGATCAGTTTAATTTTAAGAAACTCACAGGACATAATAGGGCAGTAGTGTTAAATTTAAAATACATGGTGGGAATGCTTTTTTTTTTTTTTTTTTAAGTGAGAGAATATTACTGTATTTTTAAAGGCTTTTTTAAAATTTGATGTTTGTTCTTTTTCAAGTTCTCTGAAGGTCTATGGACTGGCTGTGAATTTTTTAAGTGACTGGACACTTTTTTATTGGTTTTTGTCCTAAATGTCCGGTAATGTTATTTTTATCACTATTTTCTATACTATATTTATCTATTGATCGATAGATAGATAAAAATAAACATATAATACATGGTTCTTCTCACTCTATCCACAGCTGTTTTGGCTTTTTGTCTCTAACTGGTTGGCTACCCCTGCTCTAAGCACTGTAACTTGGTATACACTGGCACTTTACAGTGTTGTAACTTTCCGTGTGTTCCATACTTCTGAGCCAGAAAGTTACAGCACTGGAAAATGCTAGTGTAGACTTAGCCTTAATGGCAAATAGAGTTATATGGTTTTTAAGCAAAAATAGTTTTAAAGGTTCTTGGTTTTTGTTTCCTTCTTTAGAAGGAAATAAGTGGAAAAAAATTGGTGGTTGTATAAGAAGTTTTTTTTTTCTTTTAAGGGGAAAAAAATCTTAACACCTTATAGAGAAAGTAGAAACTTTCAGTCTGGCAGAATAGTAATCCATAGACTGGACATAGGTCCTTCAGTGGTCTATTGAAAATCTTTAATTTGATCAATCGATACTCACACTGTTAAGTTTTTAAAATAACAACCAAGGTCTTTTTAATAATATCCTAATGTTCTATTTGCACTTTGTGTATAATGATATGTGAAATTTTATATCTCTTATCTTTGCTCAAGTACCCTTGTTTCCAAACACTTAGGGTATGTCTCGACTACATGGCTGTGTCGCCAGAGCCATGTAGATTAGTTTACTAGACATACTCAAATGAAGCAGCAATTTAAATAATTTAAATAATCGTGGGATGAGGTTTACCAGGGCAGTCAACAAATGCCTTTGATGTCGACTGCGGAGCGTCCCGCCCGGCGGCCCCAGCCATTTTAATTTAAAGGAAGTGGCGATTATTTAAATCGCCGCTTCATTTGGGTATGTTTAGTAAACTAATCTACATGGCTCTGGCGACAGAGCCGTGTAGTCTAGACATACCCTAAGAGTGTAATGAAGACAGCTTTTGGTGATACCTTCAATCCTCAAGGTTTGACACTATTCATCCAATTTTTCCTGTCCTGAGTATCACTTGTGCAAGATAACACCCTGTTTTTTGAGGCTATATTATTCTTTTAATTCCTGAATCAAATTTCTCTCATTTTATGTGTTACAAGTTTTTGCTTTTTCAAAAATATAAGAGCCTATGCTCTTTGTATTTTCACACTGATGCTGAAACAGGATTGTAAAACTTTGCAGAAGACAAAAGCAATGATTGGTGCTTGAAAAATATATCTGACATCTCTGGCTAGATTTATGGTGACCAAATCTTTGAGCCATTCTAAAATTTAAAAGAAAGAAGGTATTTCTTCCCATACTGATTACTTGGATAAAGGGTAAGAGGACCATAGCATGTCCATTGTTGGTCAAGCCTAAGTTGTACATATGATCAGAGGTGAAAATAAGCAGGTGCACCCAGGTGCTTAATGAGTTGGCTGATCTGCAGCGAAAGTCAGCCTTAAAGAGCTGGCAGGGACCCAGTTTGCAATAGGACAGTGTATATAAGACAGTTTAAGTTACTTTCATCTCTGCTATGATGCATCTTTTCCTAAGGAAGACCTTGGAGTTCACTGACGACAAGAACTCAAAAAAGCTGAGGTCTTGGTTCTACAATTTTTCAGAGCAGACCTTTACGCTTCTGGAGGGGGAAAGGGTGACAAGGATAAGTGGGAAAAGAGTAGGTGCAAGTTTTTTTTTTTTTTTTTTTTAAGTAAGGATGATATCTTGTACTTGTGGTAAACCAAGATACCCAAAAATAGCTTTAAAAAATTAGATTCTGTTAGTAGAAAATATCTCAGAAGTCCTTGGAAGGCAATATGGATCCCTATTGGGAGAATGCACAAAATGAGAATTAAAGTGGCCATGTCTCTCACCATTCCCAGCCCAATGGGAGCTGTAGGAAGCAGCAGCTAGCATGTCCCTGTGGCCCACACTGCTTCCTGCAGCTTCCTTTGGCTGGGAACAACAAACTGCGGCCACTGGGAACTGTGGGAGGCCATGCCTGTCGATGGTCAGCCTAAATAAAACGTCTTGCAGGCCACCAGCAGATTACCCTAATTGGCTGCATGCTGAAGGTTGCTGGCTCCTGCCCTTGGATTACATTACTACTGCAAACACTTCTAAAATAAATCCCTATTACATTCCTATTAATGATCTTGCAATTTATTTGGAGGCAAACAACATTTCTATTTAATGTAATAAAAGATGTAGAATAGGCCAGTATTGGAGAGAGGATTAGTAATCCCAGATACTGGGATGTGGCAGGAATATTGAATATTACAATTATGGTCTTCATTCTGTAATGTCATAGAATCGTAGAACCATAGAGCGGGAAGAGACCTCAGAAGGTCATCAAGTCCAGCCCCCTGCCCTAGGCAGGACCAATCCCAATTAAATCAACCCGGCCAGGGCTTTGTCAAGCCGAGACTTAAACACCTCTAGGGATGAAGACTCTACTACTTCCCTAGGTAACCCATTCCAGTGCTTCACCACCCTCCTAGTGAAATAGCTTTTCCTAATATCCAACTTGGACCTCTCCCACCACAACTTGAGACCATTGCTCCTTGTTCTGCCATCTGTCCCTCCTGAGACCAGCCTCTCTCCATCCTCTTTGGAACCTCCCTTCAGGAAGCTGAAGGCTGCTCTCAAATTCCCCCTCACTCTTCGCTTCTGTAGACTATAAACAAACCCAGATCCCTCAGTCTCTCCTCACAGGTCATGTGCTCCAGGCCCCTCATCGCTTTTGTTGCCCTCCGCTGGCCCCTCTCCAATGCATCCACATCCTTTTTGTGGACACACAATGTCACAATATTTTCTCTCCCCATTGGTGACAATAATTTTCTTCTCAAATTATCTGATTATTGCTTACATTTCTTTTGCTTCACTTAAAAAAAAAATGAGCGAGAGAGCATTGCAGCCCTCTCCCTTCATTAACAAAAATGAGATCCTGTCCAGTCTTCCCTCCAGGTGGAGATATATAATGGGTGAAAGTGGACCTGAGAAGTGTAAGGCAGGTATTTAAGTGGAAGTAATTGATGGACTTGGAACATTACTAAGAACTAGTGTTGATGTAATAGACTTACTCCTGTAAGACATTTTGCTTGGTATTGCATGGCAAGAAAGATGCAAAATTAACAAAGCACACATTAAATGGATTTAAGGCTGGCTAACTAGTAGATCTCAATATGTAACTGTAAACGGGGAATCATCCTTGAACAAGTTTGTTTTTAGTGAGATTGTATAGGGATCAGTTTTTGGCCCTATGCAATTTACCATTTTATTAATTACTTGGCAGAAAAAATAAAATCGATAGCTATAGAATTTGCAGATGACACAGGAAATGGTGAATAATGAAGCGGAAGGGTCACTTATTCAGAGCTACCTAGCTTGTTTGGTAGCTGTGTTCAAGCAAACACTATACATTTTTATACACACCAACGAATGATTAAAAGATTAGAAAACATGCCTTATTATAGTCTTCTTATAATTACATATTTAAGGAGCACAATCTATTTATCTTAACAAAGAGAAGGTGAAGGAATGACTTGATTTAGTCTATATGTTTCCACATGGGGAACAATCAGCTCTTGGTTTAGCTTGAGAAAGATACAGATGATCTAATGTCTGGAACCTGAAGCTAGATCTACTCAGCAAAAGTAATTAAGCACAGGGACAACTTACCAACGGTCATGGTTGTTTCTCCATTCCTGATAATTTTTAAATTAAGATTGGATGTTATTCTAAAGATGTGCTCTAGGAATTATTTTGGGGACACGTTGTGGTTGGTTTGACCTTTTGGCCTTGGAATTTGTGAATCTAAGAAACTTTCAATATATCAGATATTTTATTAATAATTTTCTTATTACAAAAAATGTGTTTTCCCAGAATCCTCCAATGCAGTCATCATACCCAGTTGAATTTTTGCCATCTAACTGGCCATGCAATGCATCTGATGAAAACAAGAAGACAGAAGTAAACCTAGAGGCTGTCTTTCAGATTGTAGATGAGATGCATTCATCCCCCAAGCTGGAGATGGTAAAGGTGGAACCTGTGGAAAGCCAGTGTCCAACCCCACAGCCTAGTGCAGGCCAACAATTGATAGTTAATCCTGGGAATAATGATGCACCTTCCTCAAGTCATGCCAGCCAGCTGGAGCCTCTTACACCTGTAGATTCTGATATTACAACATTTATGGTGGGAACAGATCAAGCAATAGGCTGTTCTCTGCCACAGTCTTCTGAATTTATTTATACTATTCACACTACTGAATCTCTAGAGAATACTGCTTCACAAATGGTACAGGAACCTGCATCAAGACAAGAAGCACATGCAAAACTGAAAGAACAGTTGAGCCATGCTTCAGCTCAGTCTCCAGTGGTGTTTCTTCAGGAAGGACTGCCATTCAGTCCACGGCAGGTAAGGGGGAGAAAGGAACACTGCAATATGTGTTCCTGTACTGCAGAATATTCTGCTGTGATAACCACATATCACAGTGAGGGCTTAGTCCTACAAATCACTTGTATGAGTAGTCCCATTGAAGTAGCTTTCTTTCAGTTTTACTTAAGTTAAGGATTGGTTGGATTGGACTTCTGGGGTCAGATTCCCAGCTAATGTAAATGCACATCACTCTGTTTTGATTTGGGCTTTGGTATTTACTCTGTCTTATGTCACTCAGGGCATGTCTACACTACAGAGTTGTTTCAAAATAACTCTCCTGATTTTGAAATAACAAGGTGAGCATCCACACAGCAAGCCCATTATTTCGAAAGAACGGGCTTGCTATAGCAAAATAATAATCCCTCATTCTATGAGGAATAACGCCTGTTTTGAAACTGATATTTTGAAATAGGGTTAGTGTGGATGCTCAACTGCTGTTATTTCAAAGTAGCTACTCCCCAGTGCTTCCTGGGGCTCTTAAGTTGATGTAGCATGTCCACATTAACGGAGCCTGCCTCAGACTGATTTTGAGGCTTCCCTGTAGTGTGAATGTGCTATTGCGAAATATTTATTTCGGGAGTTATTATTTCAAAATAAGTTATTTCAAAATAACTGTAGTGTAGACATAACCTAAGTGTTATTCCAAAGCTCTGAGCAATTAATTGATCATCTGTTAGTGTTCTTAATTTATCCTAACTATTTAACTCATTTTTTTTGTTTCATTGGGGAAAAATTTCTCTCAACCCTGTGTTTTGTAATATCACTTTGATTAAATATTAGACTTAGAGATGCTTTTAGAAATGCATATAGAATTGTGGCAGTTTTGCAGGCACGTAGGTAGTTAGATGCTTTACTGGTCATTAGAGTATGTAGTTACACCTTTTTGAGCACATGTTTAAAAATCTGACCTTGAAGACTTTTTTGCTTAATATTACATTAGGATGGAGCTCACATTGCTGATCTCATAAGTAATGTTACAAAACTTAACTTCGGTGCCAAAAAAGATAATGGAGCAAATAATTAAGGAATTCATCTGCAAACATCTGGAAGATAATAAAGTGATAGGTAACAGCCCACATGGTTTTGGAGGGAGAAACAGTAACAGGAAACTTGGAAATGGCAGAGATGCTCAATGACTTCTTTGTTTCGGTCTTCACCGAGAATTCTGAAGGAACGCTTAACATAGTGAATGCTAGTGGGAAGGGAGTAGTTTTAGAAGGTAAAATAAAAAAAAGAACAAGTAAAAAATCACCTAGAAAAGTTAAATGCCTGCAAGTCACCAGGGCCTGATGAAATGCATCCTAGAATACTCAAGGAGCTGATAGAGGAGGTATCTGAGCTTCTAGCTATCATCTTTGGAAAATCATGGGAGACGGGAGAGATTCCAGAGGACTGGAAAAGGGCAAATATAGTGCCCATCTATAAAAAGGGAAATAAGAACAACCTAGGAAAGTACAGACCAGTTAGTTTAACTTCTGTGCCAGGGAAGATAATGGAGCAAGTAATTAAGGAAATCGTCTGTAAACACTTGGAAAGTGGCAAGATGATAGGGAACAGCCAGCATGGATTTGTAAAGAACAAATCATGTCAAACCAATCTGATAGCTTTCTTTGATAGGATAACGAGTCTTGTGGATAAGGGAGAAGCGGTGGATGTGGTATACCTAGACTTTAGTAAGGCATTTGATACGGTCTCGCATGATATTCTTATCAATAAACTAGGTAAATACAACTTAGATGGGGCTACTATAAGGTGGGTGCATAACTGGCTGGATAACCGTACTCAGTAGTTATTAATTAATGGTTCACAATC